AAAGCAAAGTTGGAATTTGTTTCATTGCAAGTGACATGTCTCTACAACTCACATGTGGACATGTCCCTTTCATAATGTCCAAATTGGGCTTTGCTTCTTCCTCGACATTATCTTGCAAGTCGCACAAGTTGGACAAGTTGCATCCCCAAAATATCTAGCTGCAACCCATGATATTTCCCTTACGGCAGTATTCTATCTTAGAAAACCTACCAGAATTGCTGGAAAAACTACCCATGCTTGTAGCCTATGTGCTGCCTATGTCTTGCCATGACTGCAGTCTATATCTAGTCATGTCCTGAATACGTCCTGTGTGCTGCCTACAACTGCCTGCGATGTCTGCCTGCGTGCCGCTGGGTCGCAGTACCTACATGTACACCCGAGTTTCCTAGCCGTAACCTAGACATGTCGTTGTGACCATGGGCATCAGTCATTTCTCCACCAAATTAGGCGACACCCTCATCGCCATGTACATCTGAAGTTTGGACCAAATTATCCATAGGTCTACTCCAATTTCTCACTTAGTGTCTGACATTTCCGTGCCATGCTAAATCTCAAGTCATTACTTTGTGATTTGTAAAAAGTATATGCTTTAATGAAAATCCAATTAGTAACTCTTCCTAATTATGCTGTCCTCATGTTGCCAAGCTTCTATATTTTATATGCAGTTAACTACTTATCAATTCCAAAACCCAACAGTCACATCCTAATGGCTTCACCAATTTAGCCCCTGTTGGTCTCCCTTTGAAACAGAACTCTTTAATTCTTATACTCATTTTCAATCACATTTACACAATAAAATATTTTACACGTAAATTTAAAACTTTTTCCTAATTTTTAACAACACAATCTCCAAACAATTACTATTAAAAATATTATTTTTTCTCAATAATTGCCATCAAACAGGGGCTCAATTATTATCTATGAAGACAGGAAGGATTGAAAACCATTATTTTATGAGCTGGCATGTTTTCAAGTGTGCACTTTCTGTTGACCCCGAAAAATGAACTCAACAGATGTCGGGCCCACTCCTGCCATCAAGCACTGATCCGGCGCGCTTTTATCCAAAAATGAGCGGTAAACGGGTTGGTTTGGACGCTGGATGTACTTTTCGGTGAGAGACACAAATGTTCAGGCTCCGACGGTTGAGTTTAGACAGCACTTGCGCTATCAACAAGTACTCAATCCGTTTTCCTTAACTAAATTGCTCTTTTTCGATGGAATATATGGAATGATAGATATGAGAATGTATAATATGTTGTTGAAATGTCAATATATCTCCTTCACTTGTATTTTATCAAACAAAGCCAAGCATGCAAGTATGTTATTTCCTCTATTGATCGCACCATCCCCCTTTTTTCAGTACAAAGAGAGGCTATTTATACTAATCTAGTCGACATGGGGACCGTTGGATCGAACCCATGTGGCGACATCTCTTAGACCTAGACTTCACATCACTGTCCATTCATTACATTCAATGTTTGACAACGGGTCGCCACGCTAGTAGTAGGCCGACATGACACATTAACGCTACATACACTTTATTACGGACATCCCATCAATCCGTTCTAATAAATCTCTGAATCCGTTGGGAAGCAGCGTCGGCATTAACATGCATTGAGTTCAGCTTTGGGCTTATGTACATCTGGTATTCTGGTGTGATTGGGCTTCGGTGCCTTAGTACTTCGGATATGAGGAGTCTCTGCTTTTGCATTGAAGGGCTTTAGGAAGACCTTCGTTACTTTGGCTGGAAGGGATATCGGACAAATATAGCCTTGGAACTCGCCGACCTCAGACAGTTGCATCCTTTGTTGTCCTTGTCTGTGTTGACTTTCTTGCTGACTTTTCAACTGGTTTTATGTCCACTTGGCGACACGGAGTACGTGGCCGTCCACGTGGAGTGCTAACATTTCAAGGGTAACACTTTCTAATTAACATTCAAAGTATATTTTCTTAATTAAACTCACACGCTGAGTATTGTGGGCATTCAAAGTATATTTTCTTAATCATAAAGCATCCCGTTCAATGGTAATTCATTGTGTATCTAATTCAAAAACCTTGTCCCAGCAATAATCAACACTACCAGGAAATGCATGTACTCGAATCCACCGTCACATAACAATTAGTTTCACTGGTTTAACGTTTAACAAAGTTCTCCAACAATTCCACTATGTCTACACAACCAATTTTCAACAATTGTGGCTTTTGGCGCACAACTTTCCAACTATTATATATAGGACCCCCCAATTTGCATAATTCATACACTTCACTGCATCCTGCGCTTTCATTCTTCTTCACTCAGCATTAAAATTATTTTTGCATAAAATTTGAGTCCAATTTTTTTATTTTAATATCAGTAGATTCGTTGGTCTTCGTTATTTGGAGTGTGATATTACAGGACGTAGAAAGACGAGTGCTAGAGTTTGTTAGCACGTGTTAGGAGTATTATCATCTTATAGACAAAGAGTCCAAGTCTTGTTCGATCAAAATTTCATTGTCTGCATTTCATCTTTCTAAATTTCTTGTTCTCAATAAGCCAAAATTCTGTCCAAGTTTATACATGTAAAATGTTAGTTCTCGATATATAATTTATGCACCAAATTTACCAACAAATACAAACTTGAACGAAGATTTTTGTAATTTTGAAAAGAAATCGGGTGAAATGTCATAATAAGTTAGCTCAAGGAGTTAATTTTTTAATTTGAGAGGGATACGAGAGTTGGGGAGGTTCAATTCTCACTAATCACTATAACTTTTGTATTGTTTGCATCGGCTCCTACATATGTTGTTGTATGCTC